ACCACCCCCAGCCCTCCGCCACCCCCTTGCCACCACCACCACCACTACCCACTCGCTACCACCCACTACCCGCCACCGTCACCCACCCAGCCACCATCAGCCACCACCACCCATTCGCCACCACTCGCCATCCGCCACCACCACTCACTCGCTACCACCCACCACCCGCCACCGTCACCCACCCATCCGCCACCACCACCGGCTACCTACCACCCACCGTCACCACTTTCTACCACCATCTTCCGCCGCCACTTGCCGCTACTTGCCACCACTTGTCATTTCTCACTCTTTTTATATTTTTAAATTTTTTTAAACATTTTGTCAATTACCAAACGCGTTTATAGTTTATGTTTTTCAAAAAATAAACAAAAACCAGTTTATAAATTTTTTGTAAATATAAACTGAAAACGTAAACGTTACCAAACAGATATAGTTTACTATTTGTTATTTACAAAAACATTGAACATCTTTAAATCTAGAGTGAATTACAAATCCGCCTATTGAGATTTACTTAAGATATAAATTATCCCTGTAGTTCTAGAAATTAGGAATACCTCCTCATGATAATTTTTTTATTTAACAAAAAAAATTTATAACTACTTTCCTATACAATAATAAAATTATTTGAATTGTTAATTGAAATATATTTAGAATAATATTAAAATTGTCAATTGACTAGATGATTTATTGATAAAAATGGTCATTTGTTATGCGATTAGAAACTTGAAAGGACATGATGTAATTTCCAGAATCACAAAGGGCAAGTCGTAGTTTAAGCAAACCTAAGGGGTTTATTTGTAATTTATCCTTAAATTTATTTTAGATAAAATGATAACAACAAACATATTTTTACATTTTTAGCACACTAATTTGTTTTAATTACTTATTTTGAAAATAAGTGAAATGGGTAGTTAGTTGGAAGTGGTGGCCAAAAGTGGCTATCAACCTTCAAAAATGGTGTCCTAAAAATGATTGTCGGCCATCGAGTTTGTGTTCAGAGATAGTGGCCAAAAATGATTGTCATTTTATAAGTGGAGAAGACCATTAGAGATGGTTGACGAAGGAAGCCACCTAATTGGATGTAGGGTGACTGGTGGTGGCGATGGATGATGGGTGGTGACCCAAGGGGTCAGTGTAAGAAAAAGAAATGTGAAACCGAAGATTTTGTGGTTATAAAAGTATAAATTATAAATTGTTTATACTTTTTAAAAATGATAAAAATAGATAACACGTAAGTTTTTATTTATTTATTTATTTACAATTTTCATATATTTTTTTTAAATTTATAAATTCAAAAACTACAAAGAGACGATAACAATTCTAATAAGTCTAGGAGCACAGAGAATGGAAACACAGAACTGTTCACCGGTTATCTGTTCGGACGACTGATAAGAACTTGTCGACCACAGCTATCATGGTGTTGACCGCGGTCGTCAAGCTTGTTGACCACGGATGTTATGCGTCTATCGTAGCTATCATGGTGTTTTTCGATCTTCTTGGCGGGCGACCTGTGAACAGTGTTCTGTGTCCACCTTTTGTACTCCACCCGTTGTGTGCGTAGCATTGCTCAAAAAAATTACGCACTTTCTCACTCATACTATTCCTCTAACTTTAAACACACTTTGGGTTATGATGTCCTTAAAAGGGTCAAACACAAGCGTATATGACAATTCAATTTATCAATAAGCTAACCCTTTTCTGCATGATTTATGTTTTTAAATGGTTGTAGTTGCTGCCGATGATGATGGAGACGCGGAAGGCGGAGGGAGTGGAGGCAAAAATGGCAGCGTTTGAGCGGCTAAAGGAAGGGTTGGTGGTTTTGGAGGATGCTTTTGCCAAGTGTAGCAAAGGAAAGGACTTCTTCGGTGGGGATAGCATTGGATACCTTGACATAGCATTTGGATGCTGCTTAGGGTGGATCAAGGCGTCAGAGAAGATGATGGAGGTGGTGTTGCTTGACGAAACCAAGACGCCGGGTTTGGTGGGATGGGCTGGGAGGTTTTGCTCACATGAGGCTGTGAAAGGTACCCTCCCTGAAACAGAGAAGCTTTTGGAGATAGCCAAGAGGTTTCAAACCAATGCTAAAGCTTAATAATCTCCCAATGAAACTTGGTCACTCACTTCACAAGTCAATAAATTTGCTCAACTTGAATTGTCCAAGATGATCTTTTATGCTACTTTTTTTTTTTTTTTTTTTTTTTTTTTTTTTTTTTTTTTTTTTTTTTTTTTTTTTTTTTTTTTTAGCACTTCATTATATGATTTGTCTTGAAATTGATGTCTTGGACAGTGTAGTTTAGATTGCATAAGTAAGGTATGTAATCATTGTGTTCAAGGTCATAGACAATTCTTGGATTAATGGTTCTTGATGGGTTGACATGATCCAAACTGGTAGCAAATATATCAATTAGAAGTAAGCTTTCATTGAATGAGCTTGCTTGCGAGGTTTGAATGTGAATGTTAATATGTCAATGTGAATATTCACATTGTCAACGGGCCGGGCCGGGCCGAGTCAGGCTCGCCCTAGGCTGCTGTCTAGTTTTATACTCTTATCAATGTGAATGTTAACATGTCAATGTGAACATTCACATTGTCAACAGGCCGGGCCGTGGCGCGGGTTTTGGGCTGTTACGAGGCACGGGCTAATTTTACACTCCTATCAATGTGAATGTTAACATTTCAATGTGAATATTCACATTGTCAACGGGCCGGACCGGGCTGCGGGCGAGCTTTTGGCCGCCCATGGGCCGCGGCCCAAATTTATACTCTTATCAATGTGAATGTTAACATGTCAATGTGAATATTCACATTATCAACGGGCCGAACCGGGCCCGCCCCGGGCCGCAGGCAGGTTTCGCGCCGCCACGGGACGGGGGCCAATTTTACACTCCTATTAATGTGAATTTTAACATTTCAATGTGAATATTCACATTGTCAACGGGCCGGGCCCGCCCTAGCTCGCGAACGGGTTTCGGGCCGTCCACGGGCCAATTTACATTCCTATAAATGTGAATTTTAAAATATAAATGTTCACATCATTAAATTGCTAATCGTTGAAAAAATATTTATAAGGGTATCAAAATTAAATATAAGGGCATAAGTGTCCAAGAAAATAGTGTAAATCAAGAAAACGGACTTTATAGAATAAAACTATACATATATAGGACTAAATGGGTTAAAAAATTCCTTCATGGACTTCTTGGGTTAAAACACTTCTAAATTGAACTTATCAATAAAAATCACATTGTAAAAATTTATGTGAAATATTTTTATTAAAATTTTTAATATTATAATTAATAAGTACCCCTCTAACTTAATTTCTTAGCTCCGCCCGTGTATACCACCATTCTCAATCACCCAAAATATAAATAAACAAATTAGAAAATGAGTTGTTGAAGGGTTTATGAAGTTTCTAAGCCAACTTTTAGTGCTGAGGAAACAGATTACTTAAACCCGTCAATAGTGTTATGTTGTGCTGCTACAAAACATTGATTGGGAGCGAGCTTCATGATCTAAATTTTTGAAATGTCAAAAGCAAGATACATTGGGTATATGCCACATTATGTTCTCTTCCCATATTTGAAAAAAATAAAATAAAATAACTAACTTTTATTGTTTTTAGTAAAAAAAATATATATATTTAAAAAAATTAATTGTAAAATCCTTCTAAATTAGATAAATTGGAAAAATTTTAAATTGATACAAATTAGAAAAAAAATACTGAAAAAAAAAAAAATATATATATATATATGATTTTTTTAGCTGGATCTCAAACCAATGTCAACCATACATTTTTCTTTTTAATTAGTTTCTCCACAAAAATTCACCAGCTGAGGGAAGTTTTCCCAAGAGAAATATTTTAGGACAAACTTCACATCACCCATTTTGGCAACAAAAAAAAAGTCACTTCTTTTTTCAATTTTTTTTTGCTTTTAGTGATTTTTTTTTTTCAAAATTACATCAAAATTTTTTCTATCCATCTTGTCAAGAAGAATTTAAAAAGTATATATATATTTTTGAAAAATTTCAAAAAAAATCACTAAAGACGAAAGTAAGTAAACAAAAATTACTTATTTTGACTTATTTTTGTCTCACTAAATACGAAAATAAGCCAAAAAAATACACTTACCAAAACATAATGGTTATCAAATTCAAAAGGACAACAACACACCACCTACAAACTAGAATTGGCACCACCAATCCATCATATTCATCACAGGAACTGCATTCTCAACAACCCAAATGGACAAGAACAGTAAATATTGCCTCACAACATCTGCCTCTCACTGAAGGCCTTTATGGCTATTATGGATATCTTTATTTCTAGTTTGTAGGTGGTCCTCTGAATTTGGCCATGAGCACCTTAGCAAACTCAGCAAGCTTATCAGTTTCAGGCATAACATCCTTCACAGCAACATCACTGCAAAACTTCTCAGCCCATTTGACCAGATTCGGCATCTTGGCTTCGTCGAGAAATTTCATATTGTTCATCTTCTCAATCGCTCGCAGCCACCCGAGGAAGCAGCCGAATGCAATGTCGAGGTATCCGATGTGATCGCCGCCGAAGAAGCTCTTGCCTTTACTGCATTTCACAAAGGCATCTTCTAATAGCACTAAACCTTCAATCACTTGATCAATTGCTGCCTTCTTTGCTTCCTCTCCCTGAGCCTTGGCTATACCACTCAGTGATGGAAACCACTGCACCACCACCACATTTGAAATACATAATCAAATAATCATATAAAAGGCTAGATATACCCATCAATTTTTCAATTCCATATAATCTCCCAATTTGATTACAGACTCTTTTTTTTTGTGAATTTTTTTTCCCTAAAATATGGCAACTTTCAAGACCATGTTTGTGGGTTAGCTAGGTGCATATAGTGTTAGAGCATCCACGCTAAAATCTTTAATTTTTTAGTCAAATTAAAGCTAGTTCATTATTTTAGCTAGTTACCTTTTAACACCAAATGTATCAAACGTTTTATTCTAATTTATTCTTATTAAATATTATTTTCTTATTGTGTTTGTTAATCTTTTTTTTTATTATTATTAAATTGATAAGTTATCAGCTAAAAAGTTTTTACCAAAAAAAATGCGATTGACTAGTTGACCGGCCGAACTTCCGGCCGGACAGGTAACACACAAGTACCGATATACATGTACAGTGCCTCGTTATGACACGAATTATTGTAGCTATCGTAAATTTTGATAAGTTACAAATGAGTTTGATGATGTTTATTATTTGAAAATTTTAATTAAAAAATAATTTTGAAGAGCTTGACGGGACGCCAATGGTTACAAAAGCTTAAACTAGTAAGAAATAGATCAAATACTGTATAGTTGACTCTGTTTGTCATGGGGGAAAAAATAGATAATTTAGATTGAGAAAGATGATGGAAAACACAAGATTTGAATCCAAATCTTCCAAAACCATAAATTTTATTTTATTTTATTTTGTAAGATTATTAGAAGGATGTAAAAGGTAAAAAAAAAACACACACACACCAACATACTTAAATTTTTTTAGTAACCAAAAATATAAAAATAAAAAACATTTGTAAACGTATGAACTTTTCTAACAATTTTATCTTAACAAAATAAAAAATAAAACTACTGAAAAATCAACTGTCAAACCCAAACTTAAACTACTTTTCTCGCATAATTTATAAAGCCAACATGAAAAAAGAATTTTTAGTATCTTATATTTTCTCACCAAATCACTCGATCTACATGGATAGTAAAAAAAAAAAAAAAAACGTAAGTCCAAACACAACCCAAAAAACAGCAATACGCATAAAAAAATACTCTACTAAAAGGCATACCATACCATACCTTATCATCGATATAAGCAGCCCAAAAGCGAGCCAGAGCACGATCATAAGGATCGGAAGGAAGGATTGAAGGAGCGGAGGAGGTCCAAACCTCGTCAATGTACTGTACGATGACTAGCGACTCACATACTGGCTTGTCTCCATGGATCAGAACCGGGATTTTCTTGTAAACCGGGTTCAATTTGAGAAGTAGATCGCTCTTTGCACCTAATTGCTCTTGGAGGAACTCGTACTCCACCGCCTTCATGTTGAGTGCGATTCGAGGCCTCATCACGAATGGGCTTGGCCATGCTCCCAGAACTTTCACTTCGCTTTTCGCCATTGTTTCCAGAGAAGAGAAGCAAACCAACAGTGGGTGAAATACTGTTCACGATGCGCAATGGTGTGTGCGTGTGAGATGTGTATTTGGTTCTTGTGCGTGGGTCTATTTAAATAGAAGGGAAAATGATAGGGTATATGCCCTAAGTTTAAGTTTGTAAATCCCAAAGGAAGAAAAAAAAAAATACTTATCTAATATAAAAATTCATGATTTGGACCAAACTTAAAAATTATTTGATTAAAAATAAATTAATGAATTATAAAAAATTTATAATATTAAAATTGTCTCTAAAAATCCTAAGGAAGAAAATAAAATCTCATTTATATTCCCCTTTCTTATGTTTTATTTTTTTTCATTAATCCAATTTGAAAAAATATTATCAATTTTTTATCCTAATGTTAGACAAAACACAGTAAGTTTAATAAGTTTGATATTATTATGTTAAATTTTGTTTTCTAATTTTAATTTAGACAACAATTAGTGTCATTTTTACTATAATAAAGTTATATTTTTTATACTAAAATTTATATATATATATATATATATATTTTGTCTAATTTTATACTTTCATTTTTATTGTTAATATGTGGGGGAGGGAAAATATACATGTTGATATTTATAGAAGGGGTAATTACGTCTAGGTGTTAGGGAAAAAAATACATATTTATGAAAAAAATTATAATATTAATTATTAAAATTTATTGATTTTCAATTGCTTTTGTAAAATCATACTGATGTGATATTTTTTATTTATAAAAAAGTAATTATTAATCAGTGATAAATTTTATAAATATTAATTAAAATTATAAAAATTTTATAAATTTATAATTATTTTTCACACTAGGCCTGAATTGTAATTTTCTCTTAATATTATTTGTATTAAAAAATTTAGGATAAATTACACTTTGTCCCTCAAATTTCACCTATTTCTCATTTTGGCCATTTAAGTTTAATTTTTCTCACTTTGACCCTTTATGTTTACAATCTTTCCCACTTTGGTTATTTATGTTTGCAATCCTTCCCACTTTAACCCTTCATGTTTGCAACCATTCCCACTTTATTCCTAGGCTAACTTTCATCTAAAAAAATAGCAAAATTTGTCATATCATTAACACATTAGCTCCATACGTTATGTAATAAATTCACTAAAGATGCAAAAAATAAAAAATAAAAAACAAAAAAATTGAAATTGAAATTTTTTTTAGTCTTTAGTGAACTTTTTTTTTTTTCAAATTTATTCCTAAACATTATTACATTATAGATGCATCTAGATTAGATATAACTAAAAAAATAAAAATAAATTTAACTAAAAAGGGAAAAAAGTTCACTAAAGACGAAAAAAATGATAGTAAATTTTTTATTTTTGAATTGAAAATACAAGTGTTTGAGTCAGTGTGTTTTTATTTTTTATCGTCTGTAGTGAACTTTTTTCTTTTTTTAGTTAAATTTGTTTTTATTTTTTTCAGCTGCATCTAATCTAGATGTATCTATAATGCAATAATGTTTATGAATAAATTTAAAAAAAAAAGTTCACTAAAGACTAAAAAAAATTTCAATTTTTTTATTTTTTATTTTTTGCATCTTTAGTGAATTTTTTACATCATACATAGAGCTGATGTATTAGTGATGTAGTAGATTCTGTTAATTTTTTTGGTAGAAGTTCGTTTATGAATAAAATGGGAATGATTGCAAACATGAAGGGTCAAAATGAGAAAAATTAAACTTAAAGGGCCAAAGTGAGAAATGAGTAAAACTTTAAGGGGGCAATGTGTAATTTACCCAAAAATTTATTAGACTTCTTTTCTAAAAACGTGTGTGTTCAAATATTATTAGATATTCAAATATTTACTTTTTTAACAATTAATTATATTTTACCTCTCATATTTTAATAAGATTTTTAATCAGAGTTTTAGAATTAATCAGTCAGTTTGTTTTCAGTTTTCAAAATTCATTTTTTTTTAAATATTGTTTTTTTGTTTTTTTTATTTTTTTTTTTGTTTTCATTGAATTTTTTTTAATATTTTAAGCAATTTTTTTTTTTAATTTTTAAACACATCTAACATAAATACACTTAGAAAGTATAATATTTGTAAAAAAAAATCTTTAAAAAATTCACTAAATACCAAAAATACAAAAAACAAAAAACAAAAAATGAAACTTCAGTACATTTTTAATATTTTTGTGCAATTATTAATTTTTTAAAATATTTTTTCACAAATGATTTACTATTTAGATACATCTTAATAAGGTACATCTAAAAAAGTAAAAAAAAACAATTGCTTAAAAATTAAAAAATATTCACTAAAAATAAAAAATAAAAAACTCAATTTTTAAAAAACTAAAATCAAACACTGAATAAAATTATTCTTTGTATTAAAATACAATAATCCATAAGTTTGATGTTTATAAAATAGGCAAATTTATTAAGAAATCTTTTTTTAAATACTTATATCACAATTAGTTCATGTACGGGGAGCAAATATTCCGGCAAGCCCGTATTCCTTTCTCCCGAGCTCCTACCTGTCCGATCAATCTGCGAGCACAACGGCGGTGAGCTACCCGGCGGTGTGTGGCCGGAATCCTCCTCCGACGATCAAGTTAGACACACACACACAGGGATATAGAAAGAGAGAGAGGATTGAGTGTATAATATAAGTCTTACCAAATGTTCATCTGCCTCAGCATGGGGGCGCAGACTCGCTTATACAGCTTCTGCGCCCCAAATCTACTCCCATTAGTCTCTCAACACGTGTTGCTGCTATCCCATCTGTCGGCACAAATCTTGCTGAACACCACCTAACCAAACTGCCAGCCCACTCTGGGGAGCAAATAATCCGGCAAGCCCGTATTCCTTTCTTCCAAGCTCCTACCTGTTCGATCAATCTGCGAGCACAACGGCGGTGAGCTACCCGGCGGTGTGTGGCCGGAATCCTCCTCCGACGATCAAGTTAAACACACACACACAGGGATATAGAAAGAGAGAGAGGATTGAGTGTATAATGTAAGTCTTACCAAATGTTCATCTGCCTCAGCATGGGGGCGCAGACTCGCTTATACAGCTTCTGCGCCCCAAATCTACTCCCATTAGTCTCTCAACACGTGTTGCTGCTATCCCATCTGTCGGCACAAATCTTGCTGAACACCACCTAACCAAACTGCCAGCCCACTCTACTGGGAGCTCGACAGCCGAGTTGCAGCTTCTCGGCTATCAATGGCCATATCGTGCGGCTAGCTAGAGCGCTCCACTCGCCGTACTAAATGACGATCGAGCTCAGTTGCATCCCGGCATAGCCGAGCTCGGGTTAAGCGTCGGCCTTCTTGCCGAGCTAACTCTCGAACCGTGGAACCCAATGAGGCGGCGGATATCTCGGTCGAATCCTCACTTGACTGGTTTCTGTACCATGAAGCCAAACAGCTCGGTCCAACCTATCTAAACAGGCCCATGCTACCATGGCCCACTGTGTCCAGCCCAAATCTGCCCGGCTATTCCCACGGCCCAATCCAGATCACAAATCTCCCTCTTAGTTTATAAACATATTCTTGTATTTTATTAAGTTCCATTATTTTGATATTTGATTCACCAAATCTTAATTATCATATTTAAGATATTTTATAGATAATTTTATCATTACATATATTTTTTGAACTCTTTGCAATTTGGTGATGTGAACATTCATTTTTAACGGTATGAATGTTCACATTTACAATTTAAATATTTACATCACGGAACATTCATACTGTTAATTTGAACATTAATGTGCATTTCATCCTATTATTATTATTAAGGGTATTTCAATAATTATATCACTCATAGAAATATAATAAAATTATTTGGATTAAGAGAAACATAAATAGGTGAAAAATAAATTCCCTCATAAAATATCACTTTTAAATTTAAAAATAATATTTTAAGATTTTTGAATAATGTAACAAGATCAACCACAAAATTAACGATATAGTTGTAATCCGTCTTTAATATTATGAGTTCATTTGGGAAGTGGATTGGCTTTTTAACTTTTTGATTATTTTAACCTTGAGCTAAAAAGTCTCGTTTGGGACAAGCCTTTTAGTTTTTTTGACTTTTTGTGAAAGAAAGAATGTAATGATTATAAGTTTGATGTGATATTTTATTTTATTGGGCTAAAAAGTCTATTTTGCTTTTTTATATTTTTTTGTTTTCACTGAATTTTTTTTAATATTTTAAGCAATTTTTTAAATTTTTAGACACACATAACATAAATGCACTTAGAAAGTATAATATTTGTAAAAAAAATCTTTAAAAAATTCATTAAATACCAAAAATATATATAAAAAGAATGAAAATTCAGTACATTTTAAATATTTTTGTGTATGCCACAACCCAACCCGATACCCAAAGGTTTGGTGTAAAACAAGACAAGAAAATAAAATAATTCTAAAATTACGGTATTAGTAGCGCAAACAGATAATTTATAAATAAATCAAAAAATAAATAGGTACCAAAAGTTTATTACAAAGAAACAAAAATAGTCATTTGGGCTTTTATTTTATTACAAGAGTCCAATCATAAATACAGATAGTAAAAAAAAAAAAACACTGTGATTTATCTCCCATCTTGATCCCTATAAATCTCATCACCCGAAAGGGATAACAGCTATAAGCACATAGTAAAGTGAGAAATATTATACTGTGAATATAGGGCAATAAAATAGCCGTAGATAGTTTTTTAAGGTAAAACATTAACAAAAGTGATAGAAATTGAAATACAGAAATTACGTAAATAACTATAATCACGGTACAGAACAAAACAGAACAGGGGTCCCTAGAGTGACAAACAGAACAGGGGTTAATATATTCATGACAAACAGAGGACCACAAAGTAGCAAAACAAGGGTCAATGGTTATTTAAGTCCCCCAAGACATGGAACTCCCATGGTGGTACTTACAGAAAACAATTATTTACAAATACTTTTTAAAATTTAAATAAACATATCCATGGGTTTCTATTTAACCTAGAGTTCAGAAAATAATCCACATAATTGAAACATTAATATAATTATAAAACATAAATTATATAAAATAAATTGTGATAACTCAAAACATTCGTAAAATATATTA